TCGATCGCTCCTTTTTTCAAACCCCTGCCCCGCCCTCCCCTCGTCCCGCCATCGTCCTCCTTCTCCGACCCGCCCTTCTCTCAGCGACCCATCCTCCTCACTTCACCCTATCCTTTCTCTTCCAAAACCCCCCATTCCTCTCTCCATCTGCCCTCTCACCCAGACATCTGTTCTTTCCCGACTGGCGCCTGCGCTTCTTCAATACCACCCACGCTTCTACGCCACCCGCGTCCATTCCCGCCTCACTCTCGCCGCGGCAACTCCTTCTACCATTCCCCTTCGCCTCACGCTGCTCATTCCCTTGCGCCACCCTTGCATCCACCGCCGTCCCGCCCCCCCCCCGCAGCGCCACCCCGTCGGATGATAGGCTGGCGACGCGCTCCTCGCGGGCCGTCGAGGGAGTGGCGCGGGCGCGCCGCGCCGGCGGCGGTGGTGGCAGCGGACTAAATAAATTATTGTCGCATCGGGGCAGAGTGTGTTTTGCCATATGCTTCCTCGCTTCACGCGCTCAAACCTACAGTCTGGAGGTTCAACTGTGCATAGATTCACTCTCGGCATTAAAGATATAGAAACGAAAGTGAAAAAAAAATTGAAAAATAGTTACGACAATTGTTTTAGACTTACGACTTCGGACGTAAAAAGGTAACATCATTACAATAAATCACACTTTACCATTCTTCTTGTACATCGGAATATCCCTATTTACTGACGCCAGCTGAACCAGTTACTGGCATTTATTTCATTTAAGGTTAAAGGAGAGACTAGTTAATAATAAATATGATGAAAATTGCGGTTTTGCATGATAATTATTTGAAGACCTATTTGGCATTGACATGTCTGGTCAGCGATAACATATTGTTCGAATTAAATATGAAGTATTATTAATTATTATTATTAATTATTATTATTAATTATTATTATTAATTATTATTATTAATTATTATATTGCAATATAGTACACACCTCTATCGTTTGACACAAGTGATTTTTTTTAATTTAAATACATTTCCGAAATCTTTTCTAGAAACAAAAATTATTACAGAATAAATGTTGGACACTATTAAAACTACGAATACAACGAAATGAAGATCATGCAGAACTACGTTACATTACACACATTTCCTCTGGATGTATTGTTATTATTAATCGATATGCCAATACCTGATCACAACAGCTCAAATGGTTGAGAAGTTGCAAATAAAAGTGTGTTGTTGTCTAAGACCACCTATCCTCCAAAAATTATGATATACAACTTTATGAAACAACAACCTATTTAATCCAGATAATGGTTATCAGAAATACAAGCTATAAAAGTGTATATGCGATACAGAAATGGCAAAACGAAGTTCCAAAACCATGTTCAACATTGTAATGGGACTAAAAAAGATAACTTTTACGGCTTTTTCATGGCTTTTTCTCAGAACACAATATTACATCAAATAATGCATTCTAGAGTGACAAATTATATATTTAACATGTTTGCATTGGAGTTTTGATACTTTGTAACCGCGACAAAATTAAATTAATATGTTTCATTTGTGTGCGTTCAATTTTAAATTTTCCTCGTGTGTCATAGAATTAAAGAATATTTTTTAGTTTATTTTAGTTGAATTGTGAACTATTTTCCAAATACATTGTTAGGTTTTACGTACAAGGTTATTCCTCACGCGTCTCATACACCCAATGTAACAACTTTAATTTCTACTCGTTCTCATAAATTGTATTACATTATTCATGTTTGCAGCATTCCTCATAATTGAGAAAAAAAAGAGTATGTCCAATGTTTTTGGTGAATCAACTCGGTCCATTAATAACGTAACACCAGACTTACAATAAATGAATAAACGTTAATAAAACTTTTGAACGACATTTTCTCTTTTCTGAACTACATCTACATTTTATTAAATTATAAAATTACTCTACAAGAGTCAATGAGGTATAGATAAAAAATAAATTCCACGTTAAAGAAAATAATTTTGTGTTAGAATTTTTACATGACCCAATAATAAAATATTGACATGGTAATGTATATAGAAAAACATGACAAAAACTAATTCTCAGGAAGTAGCGAGAGGCGAGAGCTCTGACCATGTATTTTACTTCAAGCAGTTGTGTGCTTGTTTTAACATGTCACTGCGCATAACTGGAAATTCTAGTCATGCTTGCAAAGATTACATTCAACTTTCTCCAATGACTACATACTTCCTCTGTCCTATTATTTACAGAAGAATTTTATTCTCTTCATTTGAGTCTGGTAAAATGAACCCACATTCAGTAAAGCATGTATATATTACAGATTGATATTTTTTATGAAGATTGTGACTATTTATTTTGTTAATTGTATCAAATTACTAGTTTCAACTCGATGAGGGCGAGAACTACCCATTCATTTAGATTCTCTTGACTTGGAACAGAACACTACTCACTCCGCAATGTATGCGAAATGCATTTTGAGTAACAAGCTAGGAATGTAATCGTACCTCATCTGGTATTCTTCTTCTTCAAACACGATTTTCTCCGTGTTGGCTCACGGTATGTTCAGCATGCTGAAATCAATAGAAACTAAATTTAAAAACAAAGCGATGAAATAATATCAACAACAACCATAACAATATTAATAATAACAATAACAATATTAATATTAATATTAAAATTAATAATAATAATAATAATAATAATAATAATAATAATCTATAGATGATATATCAGCACATACTTTCATTATTTTGATTTGTTTTAAATTGAGAGTTAGTCGAAAATGAGACTTGCATCATTTTTAAGCGTCGTTTGGTTTATCCCAGGAACAATATAAAGGGAAAATTTGACATGTTTTTGAGAAAATAATTGTTTTAAAATCGCCTGATATAAATATGAGTCGTTACACGCATAATTACGCTAACCTACACTTAGTTTCGAAAAACTGTAAAATGACCTTACACTATGATCATTGAAGAACAGATTTCATTAAAAACCTGTATTTTCAATATTGTAGCTGTAAGAAGACGCCGAAACAATTGAACTTTTGCAATTTTCGAAAAGTCAGAGAGTTCCACGAAAATGAGGACCCCTGTTATTTTCTAAGCGTCACTTGCTCTACCCGAGTAAAAATTTCAATAAAAATTAGGGCAGATGGACGGACGCACTGACACGTTTTGCTGTAACCCAATTTTTTCGGAATTAAGGGCCCATAAAACGTAAAATCTATATTCTATGTCTCATCAAATAATATACTACATACCGGAACAAAGTGTTTCTACTTTTTGGACATCAGAGCCTCATAATAATTCTGTAAAAATATCGCATAAATTTACTGCAACGTTGCAAAATGTAAGCACAGAGTATTGTGAGGAAATTTAAAAAAAAAACAACAAAAGCATACACGTCGTACAAGATCTCGAAAAATTCAGTGAGTCCGCTTTTCGCAATTTTCGTTGCATGTGTGGTTATTGGAGGAGAATGGCAAATTAGCTATTCAGTGGCAAAGGACCATATCAGCCGTCATTGTATTTCAACTGGAAGGAAACTGGACGAAAACGAGGGTCCTGATGGTGGACCTGCACTCATGAACAATTACTTTTTTCAAATGAACTATTTGTAGTTACATACTGAAAAATATGATAAAATAACTATGAAAATAACATAATGATTAGAAGTGATCCGTAATCAACACACAAATAATCACTTATAAATAAGATTACAATTATACAAAGAATTGAAAAAATGGAATATTTGATTTATACTTGCACTATATTTCTGTTATTCTATATATATATATATATAGAATAACATATATATAGAATTCTATATATATATATATATATATATATATATATATATATATAATAAAGTTTTCAGAAACCAAATGATAGATTCTAATAGATGAAATTTCGATTTAAAATGAATATAGTTATTATACAGTAATTTATTATGAAAGCGATTTTTAATATGAATGCACGGAAATATTAAAAGAGGATCGAATTTGTAATATTTATTAGAGATTTCGTACTTACATACAAGAAAATAATTTTTAATATATTTATATTATCAATGAGATATTAACCTTAATTAAATCGATGAGTTGCTGAAGCATATTCGGCTATCAACCCCTTCGTCATAATTGTCATCCTTCAACCGAACCCTCCTTTTATAGATTCCTCCTTCTATTGAACACCAGGTGACCGATACAGTCCCCTATTGGAATTGCAGTTTTAGTGTTTTGATAACATATATTTTCTCGGTCCAAAACATGTTTCGAAAAGTCAATGTTTACTCGTACTTTGCATACTAGTCAACTCCATTGAGTCCAGCATCGTCAATTTTACTTATATGTGTTATTCAATGTTCCTGTGATATTTTTTACTGACCTTCACATTCATAATTAAAAAATTCTGAAAAATTAAGTGAAATTTTGGGTGACAAAATTTCCTGTTTCTCCTTCATCTATTGAGGCGTCACCCCAGAGAATTATGAACCGCATCTTTCCAACGCGTCTCAGAAGACCCTGACCCACGCAACGTCCCCGCCCACTCGACCTTCGCCTTCCTTCGGGCGACCGCCGGAAATTCCGTTAGCCGCCTCCACCGCAACAACTCGCGGGCAAATCGAACAAGGGCGTTACGTCAGCGCGAGTTTTGATTTCAGCTTCAGCGAGCGGTGACGGCGCGGGGGCGGCGGGGCGGCGAGCGGGCCTGGCGTCTTCCTGAGAGGGGATGCGGGTGGGGGCGGCGGCGGCGGCGACCGTCCAACGGCGGCAAGTCATCCTTCTTTCTCCCGCGCTTTCCTCCAGCGTCCCAAGCATTGGTGGACGACCAGGCGGCGCGCCGGGGAGGAGGCACAGCGGCTGGCTCGGTTGGCCTCGATCGAAAGGAAAACAAGCCCGCGGCCGAGCCGGGAGGGGGAGAACACAAGAGTAGAAGTGAAGAACCCCAGGAAATGGGTCAGTAGGTATAAAACGTTGCAGCAGGCCAACTAGACGGCTATTTCTTTACCGTGCCTTGTAGGGGGAAAGAGACGAGGCGAGCCCGCGGCCTTGGGTGTCTCCCTTCCGTGCCTGCCGCCAGACGCGAGCCGCGAGTGGGATCGGCGGGTTGGTTCGCTCGTTCCTCCGACGCGTGAGCTCCGAGCCCCGTGTGACCCGAGGCGGCGACGGCGCCGTCGGCAGCGTGCAGTGCCTCCACAGACACCGGATCGACGCGGTCGCGGCTTCGGCAGCTCCGGCTCAGCGTGCACCCGCCCGGCTTCAGTGCGTTCCGGCAGTGACCCGAGGCAGTGTGGACTGCCCTCCTGGGTGCAGTGCTCGTTTGGTGATCTGACTTGAAGACACTTGCCGTACGCCCCGCGTGACTCCCGAGTGCAAGCCAATTTTTTTGTGAATTTTTGTTGTTCGGTGGTGTCGTGGTGACGAGAGACCCAGCTTCGCCGTGTGCGTTTGCGGGTTTGTTTAGAATGAACTGATCTAGACAAGTGAGCAGAATGTATCTTCGTGGCAACGTGAACCTGAAGGTAAGGATTAATATTTCTTTCTGAACGATATTCACGAATTTGAAGACCCTTTATTATCGGACTGTCGATCTCACGATTGTGGTGAGGAGACGTCACCGACGAGCTATGTAGCACAATTTCGTGCCGCGACTTTTGACCCCTACAGACAATCGCGATTTGGAGGTTCGTGGGACGTGAGAAAAAGTCGTCGCCTGACCATTTCTCCTTTATTGGTGAAAGGGCTGTTGAATTCCAGATTTGAAATGAAATGAATGAAATTACAGGAAACGTGAATATTTTACCCAGATGTTGAAATATGCAAACAACCATATATGAATGCACGTGTATTCCTGATGTATGCGGGAATAAATGGAGCCTGGAAATATTGAAATAGACCAGGCATCCGATAGGATTGGGTTACTTTCCTCGCCAGGCGTTCATGTCACTGGGTATTCGCATAATCACTAGTAAAGGGAGCCTTTCATTCATTAACTATTTGGAATCTCATATACCAGTAAATAAGAATTAACACTACTAATTACATGCATGAAATCGACGTCCTTGAAAGCACTCAGCACCTTTAAAATTATCTTATGTCTTAATCCCATTCCCAGACAGAACTAAGCCGACAGTGGCATATTACGGTCCGCATGTTCAAGTGATTCATCAGAATAATTAGTGAGGAACAGCAAGTTGTAAGCCGTGATAAGCTTCTAGAGTCGGGACGGAACACTTCCGCCGAGGAAACTTTTTGTTAATAAAAAGACATTGAGGGTTTGAATGAGAGAAACAAGGCGGCATCCTCAGTGAGAAACTTCCGTACATTCCCACCGCGGCTGGAACCCGGCCGTAGTATACAGGTCTGTAGGTCGCCGGGGAGGCGCGCGCATGGCGTCTGGTATACGGCGGCGTGGGCCGTGCTAGGCCCAGCCAGGCAGCATGCGAGTTCAGGCACCTTTCATGTTTTAGCATTTAATTTATGATGCATTCCGTCGCAACGGATTCTCGTTTGGTTGTAACATCAACATTTATGGAACCTCTGGCAATTTTCGCTTTGCGATTTAAAGATCGAATTGAATTGTTTTCAATGTAGTGGTGTTCATGTTGTCATAAATGTAATGCATTTAATCAATGGGTAAAAGAATAAACATTTACATAACGTCACAAAAGAATGTAAAGTTACACAAGCGTCTTTAAAAATCAGCGACGTTTCGTTTTGAATGTTTGTTGCTACTTCTGAATTATAAAATAAGATGTTGGAATACAATTTTGAGATATTACAATGGCAGCTCTCTGTAATTTGATCAGTTATTATTAAATGTACCTTATTACACCCATTGTGTTGTATTGTGCTGTATTGGTAATTCTACAAAACTGACGAGCTACCAAACAGATTATTTTTCAAAAAGTCGAAATAATATCAAAGTTTGTTTATCACCATTGAAACCTATGTTATGTATATCATTGTGTTAATTGACCTACTTGCACTTATGACACATACTCGATTTGTTCTGGGACGCTACTTGGTGGAACAAGGTGTACGTTTAAGGATAACTTACCAGTTCCCAGTTTTTTGTCACATTACGTTTAACTTCTAGAACCTGTTAGTGTAACTCATCTCTCAAGCATTCCAATCTGACCTGTTTACTTTCCGGGAGAATGATCTAGATCTTCATTGTTGTAGAGAACCAAGGGACTAAGAACTTACTTCAAATCGTCTACCAAATTTTTCTTCTCAGTTTTTATTTTCTTCATAAATTTTCCGACTCAAAAGAATTTACTGAATTCGTCATTCGTTTCGTATTTTAACGCCTAGTACTTGTCCTAAACTCGCACTACAAAAAATTATTTTCTAATGCACACACAATATTTTTCTTCTTTGCGTTGGTCTTATCTGAAAGAAAAATCTGCCATCTTTGTGTGTAACTCAATCCGTCTTGCGCTACCAGGTCTGCATCACATACGTTGTAATGCATGTTAATGGCCCGTGACTTGCAGTTTCACCTTACTATTTTCAATTAATGATTGATTCCGCTGTGAGAAACTTTTCTTTATGAAACATTACTGTCATTCGCCTTTTGATGAACGTCTCTCTAACTCGTTTTCGAGCAACTCCAGCCGCTCCTTCGCGTCCCGTGGAAGCGTACATCCGCCTTGGGGCGGGTTCTCATCGCGCAGCGTCGCTCTCAGCGGCGAACTTCCCACCGCATTCGTTTCTCAGGCCGTCATAAATAAATAAGTAAATAAATAAATAATAAAGGATCCAAAAGATATAAACCACAAAGTTAAAACATATTTAATATTATAAATAAGTATCATTACGGTAATCCATAATGATAAAGAATTCACGAGAGATCAATTCCAAAGTTTTAAAAATTATTATATTTAATATTCTAAATAATTAACTTGTCTTATGTTTCGAGAATCTTATTTCATATTCAGTGGCACTACAAAGAAGACAATTATAAAATCAAATGTAATTAACATACGAAAGATGATATACAAACACTAGACAGGGTAGCGCCGGTTTAAGTTGCACTGAATAATCCATATCATACATGACACGAATACCTATCATACATGGCAGTGTTATTTAATTCTACAACGAAATTTTTCTAAATGACTGGTTTTAAATGGTTTCATATAACTAAATTATTAAGGCAACTTTAACTTGTAAATGTACTATTTAAAATTACATAGTAAATCATTACAAAAATGTGGGGAAAGAGCAGGTGTCACAACAGTATTTGTCTTTGTACAGTTGACAACAAAAAACACTGTCTTTTGCCTTCATTTGAATGATTATAATTATCTATAACTCTAGTAAAATGCCCTTTTCACCAAATAGTTATATTTATTTCATTTACAATGAGTATTTTCATACTGGCTTCGTAATGCCCAGAACCTAATACGGTCGATATCGTCGGCTGTCAGTCGACTGTTCACACTGTCTTGGAATTACTTCTGACCTGGTAAACATTGGCCTACTATTTTTTATTGACTTCTGTACGTACACTGTTTTGATTAATAGATACAACGCTAGATTAGGCGAAATTTAACTTCTACTTGTAATTTATTGATTGCCGGACAGTTGTAACAGAAACATGATGAATTACTATCTCAGTTGTAAGTGCTTTGTCCCTTGGAATAAATCGTCACTAAAAACCACGTAAGATATTTTCCAGAAGACAAGAAAAAATAATAACTGAAACTATTATCATGGCATCAATTTTTATGGCTAATAATAATTATTAGGTAATAAACAATAGACACGTACGTTATTTAATCTCACTTTGTATGAAACTTCCACGACACGACATTGTTTACAGACTTGCGAGGTTTTAAATTCAGATTCCTCAGAGCTATTTTCTACAGATCGTTATATTTTATAGTAACACCTCAAGAAAAATAGAACGTTTTAAAACAATGGAGTGAATATACTATACCTATAATATATATATATATATAATATATATATATATATATTAATATATATATACACTCTATATACTAACAAAAGTATATTGTAAAGTATTGTGAACACGAAATCTGAACATCGCCTAGGAAGTCCCAAAAGTCTCCGACGCCGGGACTTTTCTCGCAACACAGACACGCACGGAGTGCATTAGCGTTCCTTCTCCTATGCAGGGGGTTCGTTGACCACACAGACGCAGGCGCCGCCGTCAAGGCATGGCTCTTCCATTTACATCGGCTTCGGCCTCGTAAGAGAGAAAGGCCTTGCGTCAGTTCTGCCTCATTCATCGGCTCTGAACATCCGCTCATTGTTACGGTTACGAGAGAGCGTCGCCGTCCTCATCGGCAATATAGATTTTATCCTCCGCTATTCTCTGGAACGATGAGATATGAGTGTTATTGTGGCGAGAATTATTTTTGATTGCGATACGGTGTCTTGCGTAACGTTCAGGGCGTACATTGGGTATTGCGACAATAGTGGAAGGCGAATACAGCGTACAATGAGGTCCCAAACTAATGGATGCTTTAATATTTGGTGTATATTCTCGCATCCTTTCAAGCACCGAATTGGCACAGATTTCCAGAACGCTTAATTTTGCGACAGTGTAATTTTATGTATGTGTAAAATAATTAATGTTTTCTGAAAAACATGGCTAGCTCTCATTAATTACCGACATAACTTGAAATTAATATTCAAATTCATTGATTTTCTTCATTGAATTAATTAATTGAGATGAAATATTAGAAAAATACACTTTGTAGGTGAATCGTTAATTTGGAGACCAAATACTATTTAATCGAATGACGTACACATCAAATAACATTTGTTGCAATATTAATCGTCATATTTCCATGGATACGAAATATAGTTGTGAAATAAATGTTTGTCCAGAGCAACAAATTTCATTTCGGCAATGTCATCAGTTAAATTCAAAATGCGGAGCAAAACGACCATGCGAGATTTCCTGAGACAGTTTCGCGCTTACCTGAATCATGAATAGTGAGCATTACCGTGCACTCAATACGCAATACATCTTGCACAACGATCGCGCCCGTTGTCGTTCATGGCGCAGACCCACGCAAAATCCTAAACCCTTCTCAGTAATCCAAGTAATTCAAGTACTGATATAACGCCGATACGGCAAATGCGCATCTATACATCCGCCTCTGCGCACTCTCACAGGCGGTTTCATGTGCTGCGTTCACAAAGCTGGTAGAAACGCCGCGTGCACGCACGGGCGGTATGGCCCTCTAAAATTTAGAGCCTGTCAGTGCGCCGGTGGCACGGCTGGGAGGTCGGGAGGAATGGGGTAGAAGCGGTGCGAGGCACGGAATCGACTTAC